AAAAAAAAAAAAAATACAGCATTGGTTGCAGTAAATGTGAAGTGATAGGGACACTTAGTGATAGAGGAGTTCAGAGGAAGAAGAAATTCTTTTTTGTTTGTTTTTTTGAGACAGACTCTCACTCTGTGCCCTGAGTAGAGTGCTGTGGCATCTTCATAACTCACAGCAACCTCTAATTCTTGGGCTCAAGAGCTCCTCTTCCCTCAGCCCTGTAGCTGGGACTACAGGTACCAGCCACAATGCCCAGCTAGTTTTTCTACTTTTAGTAGAGACAGGGTCTCATTCTTGCTCAGTCTGGTCTCGAACTTCTGAGCTCAGGCAGTCTGTCTGCCTCAGCCTCACAGAGTGCTAAGATTACAGTCATGAGCCACTGAGCCCAGCCCAAGAAAACTTTTACTTGGAATAGTTAGTGGCTAGATAATGGTGGTGATGCCAAGGATATGAGGTCTGAAGAAGTGGATATTCAGGTCTGAGAAAGCCTCTCTTAGTTCTTTAATTTGCAAAGCTAGTTAAATATGTTCACTTTCCCCTGTTCTTAGGATAATGCTCATTGCCCTTTTTCTCTTACAGTTGTGGAATCCAAAGACCTCTTTTTTTCTTTCTCCGTATTGCTTGATGGGAGACATTATGGCCCCCAAAGACATAATGACAAATACTCATGCTAAATCCATCCTCAACTCAATGAACTCACTCAGGAAGAGCAATACCCTCTGTGATGTGACATTGAGGGTAGAGCAGAAGGACTTCCCTGCTCATCGGATTGTGCTGGCCGCCTGTAGCGATTACTTCTGTGCCATGTTCACTAGTGAGGTAAGTGGTAAGTTGTCTCCACACACATAAAACTAACATATGTAACTTTGTAGTTGCCTAATTGTACTGAATAAAATAGTAGATGTTTGCTATAATAGTGAGGCTTTATAATATGTCGGTTAAATATGTAGGCTCTGAATAAGGTCTGCCACTTGCCTGTGCCTTAGTTTTAAATTTGTCTTCCAGTTTTTTTCTTTGTAGTTTAAAATTTTTAAGTGAATACCAAGGGGATAGGGAAGAAGGAAAGAGAGAGGGGTAGAAGTCAGACCTCATCTGACTCTTACTAACAATATGTGAAGAAAATCAGTCTTTAGCCCAGTGCAGTGGCTCACACCTGTAATCCCAACACTGTGGGAGGCTGAGGAGGGAGAATTGGTTTGAGCTCAGGAGTTTGAAACTTGCCTGAATGAGAGCAAGACTCCAACTTATGAAAAAACTAGCTGGGCACCGTAGTGAGTGCCTGTAATCCCAGAGGCTGAGGCAGCAGGATACCCACAGCCCGAGTCTGAGGTTGCAGTGAGCTATGATGCCATTGCACTCTGCTCAGGGCATAGGGTGGGACTCAGTCTCAACAACAACAACAAAAAATAAGCAAGGGAATTAAAAAAAAAAATCAGTCTTCATTCTAACATTGTAGATTTTAGGGTAATTTCAGATGAAGGGAAGATGATTTAATGACTGGCTGTATAAAGATGCTAACTCCAGAGTGTAAGTGGTTAACAAAGGGAATTAGAAAAAGGTTGGCTTGACAAGAAAAAAGTTAGTGCTGACAAAGCATTTAAAAAGAGTCCCTGAGAAAATATTTCAAATAGGTTGTTGAATGTATTGTGAGGTACACTTAGAAAAGTAAATAGAAGGCCTTCACGGTGGCTCATGTCTGTTGCCTATATTAGCATTCTGGGAGGAACGTGGGTGAACTGCTTGAACACAGGATTCTAAACCAAGCTGAGCAAGAGCGAGACCCCATCTCTACCAAGAATAGAAAAAACTAGCTGGGCGTTGTGGCAGGTGCCTATAGTCTCAGCTACTCAGGACACTGAGACAAGAGGATCACTTGAGCCCAAGTGTTTGAGGTTGCTATGAGCTATGAGGACATGATACTTTATCAGGGCCACAGAGTGAGACTCTGTCTCAAAAAAAAGATAATAAGAAAGAAAATAAGGGCTCGGTGCCTATAG